CTATATGCACTAGACATCGGTTGGGTGTGGTGCCAATAAAGCAATAATGAACAGAGGACCTTGTCCTCTGGTAGTAATTTCCTTCCAGAACATTTATGGTCATGAGTCAATGAATAAATGGCCATAGAAAAAGAAAAGAGCTAAGATTCTAAACCTCATAAAAGTAGCTTATACTTGCCTGGCTTCTGGAAAAAGCTTGAAAATGCATGTACATTTTTCTTTTGAGAGGTATGACAGCAACAGGGCCCAGGAAATGCCCAAAAGCTTAGTGAGGCTGTGAACCCTCATGAAGAAAACACTGGACATGTTCTGAGAGCCCTGTTTAAGTGGCTGCAATTTTTTTGCATGATTACATCACAAAAAGCCAGTGTGGTGTAGTGGTTAAGAGCATGGGCCTGGGACTCAGACAATCTGGATTTGAGTCCTCGCTCAGCCATGGAGCCAACTGGGAGACTTTGGGCCAGTCACAGACTCTTAGCCTAACCTACCTCACAGGGTTGTTGTGGGAATAAGATGGAGGAGGAGAATGATGTAAGCTGCCTTGAACCCTTTGTAGGAAAAAGGCAGGATATAAATCCAAAAATAAACAAACAAATAAAAGGATATTCAATTCATGGGGAAGGGCCATGTGGTTGCAGTAACTTTTGAAGTGCACTTATCATAATAGTACCTATAGTCATGCTTCCAGGGATAGTCAAAAAATTCAGGCAACGGTGTTAATCCATATTTAAAAGTTACCTCTAGCAATGTTCACCTGCACCTAAAGAAGGTCTTTTGCAAATCTTATCTGTCCATTCAGGAAGAAGCTATCCTAAAATACTGAGGCAGTGGAATAAACAGTTTGTCTGCACAGTCATCTGCATTACTGAAATTCTTGAGTGAACGAATCATTCAAAGAGAAAGCTTGCATGCTTTTCAAATAGTGCCTGTATGTCCTTGGTAGAAATTCTCTTGGCGTCTCTTCCCTCCTCTCAGGACTGGGACTACCATTAGACAGAAGGAGCCAACTTTGGAAGCTGCGGGTTGGGGAAGGGGGAGCAGCAGTGACCTCCCAATGTCCGGTGCGTCTGATCTCTCCCCCTTCCTGGTCATACTTAGAGGACAGAGCTGTGTGTGCCACATGATTTTAGCCAGCTGGCCTCAGGTATGGAGGAAGATTCTATCCCATTGCTGGTGTTGAAGTACAGTTAATTGCAATTCATGTCTGTTTCCATGCATGGGATGGAGCAGGCTCCACCTTGTCCTTCGAGGCAGCAAAATGCTCTGGGTGGTGCTGGCCTGTGTCCCCTTTGCATCTTTTACTCTATGGTTTGTTTGTTTTTTGTAACAGCCTCTTTAGAGCTCAGTCTGCAGCTGGACTTACTAACAAAGAAACCATCCTCAAACAGCCCTCACAGGCCCCAAAGCAGTTACGAGATGAAGAAAAGGAACAGTCTAGGCCAGTGTCTTCCATCTGTCTAGACCAGTTTTTCCCATCCTGGTGCCTTCCATATCTTGAGATGATGGGAGCTGTAGTTCATCAGCACAAAAGCAAGGTGCTCAGTTTGGGGAAGACTGGTTTAGACAGATGGAACACAGGAAGAATCTCCTGCAGTATTCCTTGTGTGATGCTAGGATCAAGAAAGTAACATTATGTTGCCAGGCAGGTAAGAATTCTTGTCTATGCATGAGACTTGGCTGGGCAAGGGTGGGGAGGGAGAGGAAGAATGTATAAGTGTGGGAACTTGGCACTGCCATATATAAACATAAGAGAAACCAGACTTGCTCCTGGCTGTGGTTTTTAGGAGCGTAGCAGGGCAGCCAGGACTCAGTCTCATGACCATACAGCACAGCAGGTTAGGGCAGAGAACACTCCCTTTTGTTCCTGTAGTCATGATGGCACTGTGAGGGTTAAAATGCAAAACTGCAAATGCCCATATTATTTTTCAAATCCATGTGAAAATAACCCAGCCTTGTGCTGAGTCAGACCACTTGTCTGTGTAGCTCAGCACCATCGATGTTAAGTGGGCTAGCTTGTCTCCAGGGCTCTGTTTGAAGATCTCAGGGACTGAACATGGAACCTCCTGTATGGTGGCTGGGGGAAAGCAGGCATAGCCTGGAAACCCCAGGGGGCTCAGATTTGACCCTGGACCTGAGCTGCCTCACCCGCAGTCAAAATAACTAAAATAACTAATAAATAACAGGGCTGCTTCCCTGTTCAGATGAGCCATAGTTCAGGGGTAGAAGGCATGCTTTGTATGCAGAAGGACTCCAGTCCAGTTGTGGCAACCTTGAATTAAATGAAAGAAATCAATCAGGTAGAAGGTAATGAGAAAGACCGCTCCCAGAGATCTTGGAGAGCAGCTGCCAGACAACACCGGGCCAATTGGACAAATGGGATGACCTGGGGTTGATCTGTCCGAGAGTTTTTAGTGGCATTGCAATGTCTGACTCATACATATTCCGAACTGTCCTCATCACACTATTTTGCTTGTCATATCCCATTAGTTTACAAACTACTTTTATGATGATCTTTTCATGATGCTTGCATTTTTGTGTGCTACAAAGACCTGTGTATTCCAAGCTGAAAGTATAATGACTTGCACTGGTGGGAATAGCTCTGAAGCTTTCCTGCTGCTGTTTTCCTCCTCCTCCTCCTCCTCCTCCTCCTCCTCCTCTCCCCTGCTCTGATTTTAATCAGATTTACCTGCAAGATCTCCTCACTACACTGTGGCCTCTTCCTTTTTCACTCTATTCTGCATGGTATTGTTCAGCAGAAAGGCCTCTCTCCAGTGCCATTACCAAGGAAAGAGCAGAGAGCAAGCAGGGAATAAAAGGAGGAAAGGGATGGAGGAGACAGTGGCAAAGGGCATTTTGCAGGGCAGCTGTGTGTGAGTAAGAACAGAAGTAATGAATGAGGATCTGTCATCAAGTTATCAAATCATTGCCTTTCGAGTTATTTTTAAACCTCCAATAGTGCACTAATCTAGATCCTAGCATAACTGCTCGTTATATTCTTACAGGACCACTGGGCAAAGGGAAAAAGATTACAGCTTTTGTAAAAAAAAAAAAAAATGCAGTGAATGCTGTGCCCGTTTAAATTCTGATTGCTTCCACATTAGTTACTTAATCTGGAATAGTCATCCCTCCTTCACACAGTTTTTGTGCAGTGTTGCCAACACATCTATATCCTGAATAGACCAACACTGCCCCCTGGAGTGTCTGCAGTTTAAATACTTTTTGGAAGCCTGTGGACAGACAGGTATTCTTGCCTCCCACCCTGACTCATCACCTCAAATACATAAATTAATCCTCCTTTCATAATAACCCATCAGGTATAAACTAACTAGTGCTTTTATAATATAAATTTAGCATAGTTGAGGAGGTAGGAGGAACCCCTGAGCAATTTTCTGATTGCCTAGCTAGATGGCTTACACCAGACATGAAGTTTCTCTTAGTCACCCGCCCCCGCAAAAAAAAAAAAAAAATCCATGAAGGGGTGCCTTTTTTGGTCTCCAATTGCCTTAAATAGACAAAGTATTACTTCATAGTTTGTCTCTTAGGACTATCCAACTGCATGCTCACTCTCAAACTATTGACTGTGCAATGAACTCCATATATAGTCCGGAACCTGAAGGGGTAATCCAGTAGATAAAGCTAGATTAGCTAGTAAATAAAGCTACTAGCTATATTAGATTGATTATATTTTTACTTGCATCTCTCTCTCTCTCTCTATGGGGGAGGGTTGTTGCCTTCCCTTTTCTATCCCCCCACTACTTTCCCAAATAAACATATTTTATACCATAACATTGGGTGATATTGTCTAGAAGGGGAATTTTTCAGTAAAATCCACCCCATATGCTAAAATCCCCTCTTGCATTCCAAAGATACTTTGTCAAAGTTTCCAAAAATTTGCAGTTTCTTAAGAGCTGTGTGGAAGCACCATTTTGATGCTGCTTCGCTTTGTGCATGGAACAGCAGTGCCTTCAGAGTGCTAAACCACAACTGTGTGGGAGCACTTAGGTTAGGTGTGATGTGATGGACATGCCTGGGATCTCAATTGCCTGAGGTAAGACTTTGCTGGTGGATGTAGGAGATGTATTCTTTCAAAGTACTTTACTGAGGCTGAAGTGGCTTATGGTGCTACCCTGAATGAAATGACATACATCAACAATATTTTAATAACTTTTAACATCACCTATATAGGTTTTAATCTGCAGCCAGGGTGGATCTGGATTTTATTTGTATTATGTTTTATTTTATTTTTCTTATTTATGTAAGCCGTCCTGAGGCTATGCGAAGGGATGGCATACAAATACTCTAGATAGATAGATAGAATCATAAAATAGCGGAGTTGGAAGGGACCATGAAGACCATCAGGTCCAACCCCCTGCTATTGCAGGACACCAATTTACACCATCCAACTCAGATGGCTGTCCAGTTTCTTTTTGAATATCTCTGGTGTGGGAGAGCCCACAAACTCTCTAGCAACTGCTTCCACTCTCATATTGCTCTGACAAAGAAACTTTTCCTGATATCTATCCTGAATCTGGGTTATTGCAGCTTGATTATTCCGTGTCCTGCACTCCAGTATCAGCAAGAAGAGATCTTGAACTTCCTCTTTGTGTCAGTCTTTATACGTACCTTAAATGTCCCCCCTCAGTCTTTTCTTGTCAAGGATAAACATGCCCAGATCTCTCCTCATAGGGTAGTGTTTCCAAACTCTGGATCATTTTTGTTTCCCTCTGTTGGAACCTTTCTAAAGGCTCAAATTCTCATCCAACATATAGAGAGTGCTGTTCAAAACCCACAAATGATATGATGCAACCAAATGAATAACCTGGCATCTCTAGCTACATTAGTGTTAGCCTTTTTCAACCTGGCACCCTCAGGATATGTCATACTACAACTCCCACCACCCCCTGCCATCACTTTCAGGTGTGTGCTGGTTTGGGATGATGGAAGCTGTAGTCAGTTGCATCTGCATTAATGTTTTCAAAAGCTGTAAGAATTGCTGGAAGATGACTTCTGAAGGTAAAGCCTGGGGGCTCTTGATGTTCTGCTGTCTAACCTGTGGGTTCCTACTCTCCACACACCACCTATTGTGAGCTTCATTAGCAGAGTCAAATGGTACACAAAGAATATCTTTTTCATCATTGTACAACAGTCTTCCTCATGATAAGACTGATCCATGGAACAAGGAAGTAAAACGGCCACAACTGCAGATACTTCTGTAGAGTGTCTGATGCAATTCACTTCAGTGCCTTGTTTTTACCTTAAAACTTTACCTTTGACTTTCCCTCCTCTCTTTTTCTCCCTAATTCTTCAGTTGTGGCAGCTGTTCATGCCTTGACAGTGGAAGCACCGGAGAAGATTGTGAGAGCAGAGAAAACGAAGAATGCCACCTTACCCTGTACTTTCAAAAGCACTACTGTTAACCGACAGCCAGGAGACATTATTTCCTGGGTGAAAAGAGCTAATGAGGTAGGCAGCTGTGGTGTATGACATTTGCATGAGTATCTGTGGGAAAAATAAGACTAAGTGGAAGAGACAGGTGTGTCAAGGAAACAGGGGAACCACTCTTGACCTCAGAATAAGACAATGCATTCTTCAAATGTAGGCTTCATTTTCAAAGGGAAGGGTAATGTAAACTAACCCCCCTCCCCTTGTTTTCATTTCCAAATCATGAACATGCACACACACACACACACAAATGGATCAGGTGGGTGTTACAAAAACTTTCATTGAAGAGCTTTTCTTTTTACCCCCACCCCCCAGTCTTACAGATAAAGGTGAAATTTCAAGACGAAAATCAGGTGGGGTTGAATGGAACAAATCTTAAATTCCTTCCTACCATGGCCTCAATTAATATCAGAGCTGCATGAGTTTACCCTTAAGTAAATAAGCCAATGACAGACAGCTGTGCAGTCTGGACCCAGAGACTGAACTTTTAGGAATTTATGAGGCCTCAATGCAAGAGGGAGATGGCAGATCATGGTCCAACACCTGCTTTAATCATGGACTTACACTGCTGTGTCATATTGGACAATTATTCTGGCCTCAGTGCAGCACCAGTCAGAGGCAACCAGGCATGCATCATAGATGGCAAATGGCAGCTCCAGATGAGCAAACAGATTCCACTTGGAAAAAGGTGCATTCAAACAGTTCATTGTGGCCTAGAGGAATAATGTAAGATGAATGGTAACTATTGAAAATCAAGTCTACCAGTGTTCAGTGTGGCTTACTCCCAATAAGAAGGCATATGGTTGCTGTCATATAGTCTAGTCCTGCACATGATTTGTAAGAAACCTCTGCAGGTTTCTACTCACAATGGTTTGCAGTGTTGTATAACTCAAGATCACTTCTCATAGGGTGGTTTGTTTGAGGGCAGCAAGCCATTTTGATGGCCTATGTTGGGTTGTTGTGTCAATCAAACATGGGCAACCTACCCTACTGTGGGCACAGGTAATTTAGTGACTTGAGTTAAAGCAGCAGAACCCCTTACCACTCTTACCATTCATGCCCCCACCCAAGTGGAACTGGGGAGCAGTTGACACAGACTTTGCCTACTCATCCACTGCAATCACCATCCTTTTCCGTCCCACCATGGGTTGTGTTTTTTTGTTTGTTTTTTGAACTTTATACTTTTTTCCCTGGAGATACTGAAAGCCAGCTCTTAAATTCCCATTTTGACAGCAATGGGCAGAGCCTTCAAATTGCCCCAGCAGCATATTGGAGGGTTGTCAAACTTTATTAAAACCCCTTAATTTTCACAAGTTGCAGGAATGAGGACCTTGAGTGGAGAATATGTAGGCAGTGGGATTGCTTGCAAAGTCTTTCAGATCTTCCCTTTCACTGCTCACTCCTAGCTTTGGAGAGATTTGGATCTTGCTCAGGATGGCACTTAAGTATTAAGTTCCTCTCATTCTGAATTTGCCATTACTACACTGAAGGGAATTTCTGTGAGCAGATGTCCCCAGTTATGGGAAATCAAAAAAGGAATGAGGCTGCCCTTCTTATTTATTTATTCTAGCCCATCCTATTAGCCATGTGGGTCCCTGGGCAGGTTACAAGAATAAAACCATATAAAAAACAAAAGAAAAACACAATAATAAAATAATAAAAGTGCACCCTACTTCATCCTAATAGAACCAGTAATTTCATAAAGGAAATACCACTTTCTATTAAAATATCATCAAAAACAGACTAACAATTAAAATGATGATAAAATAAAAAGGTATTTGCCTGATGCCAAAAGGAATATAACAAGGGTATCAGGTGAACTTTTCTGGGGAGCTCATTCCAATGTCTTGATAAGCAACAGGAAAGGATACCAGAAGGATACCTGCATACCTGCATACCAGAAGGAAAAGTTAAAATATGGGGAAGAAAAGCCAAATATACACAACTGAAGGGAGAAAAAAGCGCAAGGAAGAAAAAAATGCAGATTAGAACAGCAGCAGCTACTAGGTGGTTGAAAGGTGATCATAAAGAAATCGTCCTTAAACCAGTAAAGCAGATTTAAAGTTGCATTTGTACCTGCATACCAGCGGGAGGAGAAAGCATAAAAAACACTTGAAGTTAATCGTGCAATCTTTTCTATGTCTAGAAAAGCTTAATGGAATTTACTCCCCAGAACATACATACATACATACATACATACATACATACATACAGGTTTGCAGTCTAAGTGGCATGTATGAAATCTGCAAGCCTTGAGAATTCAGTAAAGGTAAAAGCCATTGTGCTATGAGAGGTTGTGGGAAAGTAGTCCAAGGAGGTCTCTTCATGTATCATTTATTTAATTAATTTATACCCTGCCTATCTACCAGGAAATGGCACACAAGGTGACTAACAACAATAAAACACTACCTGTATTTTTTAGAAAACTAATTGAAACAATCATAAAATACATATATTAGAAAGACAGTTATAACACAACAATAAAGAATGAAAATAGCACCCAGTGCAAAAGACCAGCCTACATGTTAAAGGTCTGCTTGAATAAGCATGGCTTTGCCTGCTGGTGGAAGAGCCAAACAACCCACCTGTCCTTGGCAGGAAGGAAAGAATGGAGGACAGACATGAAGGCTTTTGCTTGAATCCAGATTGGAACCTTAGTGCCTATTGGAACACAAACTTCACTGATTTCATTGGTGAGACAGAATATCTATTTAAAAGTCAAGGAAAGTCTTGGTCTTCTCTTTGAATTTTATGGTCAAAATACTGTTTTGACAAGCCAAAGATTTGTGCCACAATAATTATTTTTAATTTCTTCTCTAGCATGTAGAAATTGCTAACAAGCGACTTGATAATGGTGAGGTGGGTAAAGACCAAAATTATGCAGGCCGTCTGAGCTTCCCTGGCGATGCAAATAGAGGTGATGCCAGCATCATCATCAGTCAGTTGACCATGGATGACAATGGGACCTATTCATGCTCAGTCCGTATTTCCGCTGAATCCACCCTGAAGATTGCAGATATGGAACTTTTGGTTCTTGGTAAGGGATTCTGACCTTTGTGTCTATACCAGCTCTCATAACTTACTTGGTTTCAGCTGCACATTAACAACTAGCAAGAAATAGCATTGCAAGGATTTGGAAGTCCTTTGCTCTGTAGAGGAAGACTGATTCTGCATTCTGTTGTGACATGAGACAGGCACAGAGTTGTTCTAGATCAGCCACCCCCACCCTGGAGGCCTTGGGAAAGTTTAGAAATTTTCTACCGAAGGAGTCTTCTGAGCACTCCTGCATCCTCACTCAAGGTGCTTTGTAGTACTTTAGTTGATGTCATCGCTCTCCAGGTCAACTCCTGGACTTTGCAAACATTGCTGTGGCTTTTCTTAAATTGAGGAGAGTGTAGTTTTATCTGGAAATTGTGGTAAGGTAAGTTTGTGTGTTTTCAGTATCCCTTTATACCACATTACTGCTTGGTGGTTGTGTAAGGGAACATATAGGTTAGAAAAAGATACATGTAAAGGAACCAAATCCAGGAGTAGAAGTCTTGGGAAAGTGGTGATTAAAATCCTTATGTATAGCTACAAACAAATGTATCCTATAGCTCTTTGGTTTCCTGGCCATTGGCCATGCTTGCAGGAGCTGATGGGAATTGTAGACCAAAGCATATGGAGAACACCAGGTCAGGAAGGCTGTTCTAGATGAAACGATTACATGCATTCATTCATTTATTGCTTGCTTGCATTTATATACCACCCTAATAGCCCAGAGGGCTCTCTGGGTGGTTTACAAACATTAAAACCTACCAATCCTAACCCACCATGTAGTACATGGTGTTTGTACTACAGATGGACTTGGAGACAGTGTCCTTATGCTAAATGGGAAAGTATTGCTTGAGGCAGCTAGTTCTTGTAGCCTATATTTACTTGTTTGGGATATAAAAGAAGTGAAGTTGGTAGGAAATCGGCTTATTACAATAGAATAATAGAATAGTAAAGTTGTAAGGGAACTATCAGACCATTGAATCCAACCCTCTGCTCAGTGCAGAACTCCAAGTTCACACATCCCTGACAGATGGCTGTTGACTGCCTCTAGAATGCCTTCAATGTGGGAGAGCCCATGAAGAGCTATTTATTTATTTATTTATTTAAAACATTTCTATGCCGCCCCATCGCAACAAAGCCTCGGGGCAGCTCACAACACATAAATAAATATGGAAGTAATAAAATAAATAAATACTAAATTACAAAATAAATAACACCCCCCAGTGCATTCTCGGCTTAAAAAAAAACCCTAGTTAATAATTAACAGTTAAAATAAGTTTTAAATAAAAAGGTCTTTGCCTGGCGCCGAAAAACAAATAACGACAGTGCCAGGCAGACCTCTCTGGGGAGCGCATTCCAATTGATTCCACTGATGTACTGCTCCTGCCAAGTAACACAAGTCTAATATTTATCAACCTGACCCTTTAACTGGAGGTGCCAGTGGTTCATCCTAGGCCTCAGGTTCTGCAATGTACTCTGCCACTGAGCTATTATCTCCCATTATTATATATGTGTATGCAAAGAATAACTTGCATAGTGATAGGACATAAGACTTAATATGTGTTCCAAGATGTGCAACACTAAGACTTATATATTTGCAATACTAAATCTGTTCGGGTTATTATCTCTCTCTCCCCCTCTGCTAGTGCCTCCGTCAAACCCTGAATGCAAAATTATAGGGAAATTGGAATATGGAGAAAATATTAACCTGACCTGCAATTCTGCTGAAGGATCCCCCAAGCCTACATATTCCTGGACAAGTTATGATGCACAAAACCAGCCCCGGAAACACATGGGAACAGAAATTGCAGGTACACAAATTTCAGTTAGATTACAGTATTCTTTGGAAACTCATTTTATATCTTACTGGCATTTAAATCATCATTTTATTTTTTTTAAATCCTCCAGTCATCATGGAGACAGAAAATTGGGGCAAAGTTTTACATGTTCAATTCCAACAGAGACCAGAACCAACCAGAATAAGGGGCAATGTGACACCAATGTGCATCTTAGACTATTTGGGCTGCCAAGGATCTCTGCTCCTCCAATTTAACATAAGAAAAATATCACATATTTTCTTGCTGGCAGTTGGCATTGCTTCAAAGTACAGTGAGGGACTTTAACAGCTGCCAGCTCTAATTTCCCATGAATGCTTCTGGACTATGTGGTGACTAGCTGTGCCTCCCATGGCAGCCATTGTGTTGTTCCAATGTGTCCATAGCCCTCAAAAGGTACTTACCCTTAATCCAGGAGACTTGCTGTTCATGCTTTTACCACTGCCTACTCTCATTCCTGAAGGAGCTGCTAGAGCGGGGGGGGGGGGGAGATCCTGTAGCCTTCCATCCTTACCATTGTCTTTGCTGTCTGGAGCAGATAGGGGTTGGACTCCAATGACATTGAGGGCTGAAAGGATCCCCACCCTGTTTTAGAGCGTTTAAAATTATGGTTCACAGACCCAACTGATGTATGTGAATAATGTGCTTCTTTTGGATTTCATGGACAATTTCTTTGCAGTAGTGACAGCAACTTCCCACCTAGCAATAATATGTTGAGTGCCACTCAGGCAAAAACATAAATGTAAAAAGGTAGAATGAGGGGGCATTACTGCAGGAGGCTGGGAGGCCTTGCTGTTGGGAGGAGTTCCTTCTTTTAAAAGGTAAGAGAGGATATTATATTGCATTTATATCCTGCCTTTTTCTACTTGCAAGGAACCCGAGGCAGCTTGCATTAGTGCTCCTCCATTTCGTTTTACCCTCAACAACAACCCTGTGAGGTAGAGGTTAGGCTGAGAGCCTGTGGCTGGCCCAAAGTCACCCAGTTAGTTCATGGTCAAGCAGGGATTAGAGTCTGGGACAAGCTAATGAATACCTCCCACTGGATCTCAGGCTGTGCACTCTAATGCTGGAAAGAGGGAATACACATTATTCAAAGGTTACGTTTAAAAAAGAGAGAAAAGAAACTGACCAAACCATGAGAGGTTACTGCCACAGAGGGATTCGCCTTGCATTTTGTGCCTTTTCAAGTGCTAATGCAGTCCAATGGGTAAGAGGTTACTGTTAACAAAAGGATGTATAGGCTTGTTGTGTGTGGGTGGGTAATTGTCTGTCCTTCACCCCACTTCAAAAACTTGTCTTAACAGTGTATGGTGAATGCAGATGATTACTTAACATGTGGTAGCTTATCATAGAGCACATGTAACCACTCAATATTCTGGTCTGTATCCTAATGTGAGGAGGTTGAACAGCAAAATTTTAGCATGCTCCTACTTCCCCCACCTCTGGTGTTGTCTCATAGAGGACAAGTGCCTGGAAAACAGCACTTGTGAATGGGATCTCAGGGTACAGTTGGGAAAATGGTGGTACCACTCTGCAAATCATACTGCTTTCTTTAACTATAAAACTGCAAACCTTTGAAATGTGATTTTCTTCTGAGTGAAATTAGTGTTTTGCACTAATATTAAATATAATTTTAGAAGTTACACTGTGCATTATCAACAACAAAAAGCAAGGCAAGCTCCTGCCACTTGTGATTCATGCATGTTTCTTTTAAGAGGTTTGGTACTTTCTCAGCTAGAACTCACAGCATTACCCTACCACTGAAGAAATGCTTGGGATTTTGTTCTCTGATTCTTGCTTTACCATTCCTTATTATACATTTGCCAAAAGAGACACCCCAGAGTCTTCTTGGAAAAAGTGATGAGACAGGGATGGATAGTTTAACCTTCCTCCTTCAGATAAGCAGAGATGGGCAACTTGGAACTGTCCAAATGGTTTGGCCTACAGTTCCCATTATCCCTTACTAGTGGCTGTGCTGGCTGGCACTGATGGGAACTGTAGGCACAAACTCTTGAGAAGTACAATTTGTGCTCTATCCTGCACTGAAGAATCCTATTTTGCAAGCACTCTCTACAGTTTGGCTGGAACACTTTTGCTTGTCTGAATAAGCCTCAATAATAGCTCAAAACAGCTACAAAGAAAGTCTTATATGTATAAACTCTGCTAGTTGTTCAGCAGCTTGACCTATAGGTGGTGGCACTGCACCAGGAAACAGACTCCCTTTCAAGCTTTGCTAAGTCACTGTCCTACTGCTTCTATTCTGTTTCCTTTAATTGTCGTTCCACAGAAGAGTTTAAGAATCCCTTTTTAAAAAATGAACATTTCAGACAAATTAACAAATGCAACCCATGAAGTTGGGATCAGGTTGCAGAAGTAACTGGGCCCAGCAGTGGAAGGCAGATGATGCCTCTTGGGAAGTGTTTGGTTGTGTTGAAATTAGTATCAGCTGAACTGAAGACCTGCATAAGTATCCTTCGTGCCCATTCACACAAAAGTTTGAAGGATGTGAACAAAGAGAGAATGTTGATCACAGATCTATGGCTAGATTCAGGTTTAGGGTTATGGAAATGGACCACCCTACCTCTTTCCACCTCACCCCTATGGACCTCTGAAAATGCTACACAGAGGTTGGAGATGCTGCTGAATGGGTGAGCTGCAGTGTGGTGAGGGCGGGGGGGAGTGGTTTCTCCAAATTGGGTTAAGGCATCCTCCATCAGTGCAGCATCCTATCCTAGAGCCAGTCAAGTGTGAATTTGTTCAAAGAATTACCTGTATTTCCTGGTCAAATTACATTTTTCGAGTAGATCTGTTTCTGCCCTCATCCTTCCCCAACTTGATGCCCTTGAGCTAGGCTGAATGAGGAATACTGGGAGTTGTTATCCAACACATTTGGAGATCACTGCAAAGAAATTCAGCTGTGTATTTAAATATGTACACAATCCATTCAACCCACATATTTCTGTAAGCACAGATTCTATGGCTCTTTCTGTGCAGAGAAATCCCCCCAGCTCCCAATCTGCCAAAGGTGTGGCTTTGCAAATGTGCAAAGAAAGCCCATTTTCAGGGGCTGATCCTGTAGGTTTCCCTCTCCTTGGCCTCCACATCATGTTTTTTTGGGGGTGTGCACGCATGCATGTTTTGTGGTAAAAAACTGAATTCCCAGAAATGACATGAAAACTTCATCTTTAGGAGTACTGAGTGGAAGATAAATAGTTCCATCTACATTCACTGTGCAATTGTGACCTTCAGTGTTTCTCTTTTTGTACCAGGAGGAATGCTTCTACTGAAGAACATCTCTGCAGACACCACTGGCTACTTTGTCTGTCTTGCCAGTAACTCTGCCGGGCAAAGGAACTGCAACATGAGTGTGGCTGTTCAGCCTCGTAAGTGCAGAATGATGGTGTAGGGGTAAGATAAGGCATCATGCTGAACTAGCCTTTTCCAGCCTGGTGTCATCCAGGTGTTGTGGGCTACAACTTTCAGCATTGCCGGTCCCTGGTCAGGCTGGCTGGGGTTTATGGGAACTGAAGGAAGCTGCACTAACCTAACAGCTTAAACAGTGAGGCTTCAAAATACTTTCTCTCTTAGATGGTTTTAGTTACTTATATTAGATTGTATTTATACCCTGCCTTCCTTCCTCTTGTGAGGAACTCAAGGTTAGGTCTTTAAGTTCTCTTCATCTTTATTTTCTCAACAACCATGTTAACCACTATCCTACACTGGTTGGTCATTTGATTTGTACCTTGTCTTTCTAGCAGGAAAAATGGCATTCAGGTTAGCTTACCTGCAGGACTTGCAGCTGCCTGTGGCTAAGAATAAATGCAAGAAACTCCTTGCTCCATTTTCAATGGACAGAGGGCTCTTGCAGTGCTTCCACACTTGCTGCAGGATAGCCACACTTCATTATTTACAGGGTGACTATGGGTGCCTCCAGAAGGTGAGGCCTTAGTCACACACGGTCACGAGGCCTTGGGCTACTACTCTTAACAGGTTTTCTGTACAAGCGAAAAAGAGAGAAGAAAAAGTGTGCAAAAGTTACAGGAGAGTTATAGGTGGAAGATGCAATGCCTGGGCCGCCTCCTTCCAATTCTATGAACAGGACAGGGTGATGACAGAAACAAAGCTTAATCTGGAAGCCCTCTCCATGGCATCTTCAAATTGTTATCCTTCTGTGTTTTCCCCACAACCTTTCATCTTTTTTTCAGAATACATATCTGACATTTTTTGAAAAGGAGGGACAAGTAGCACAATCACCACCAGTGCAGACCACCTTAGAGCTAGCTTTCTGTCTTTAAAAGGCATGGGTTTGGTGCATGCAGTGATATACTGTGCCTGTTTTGAGTGCAACACATCTTTACCTTAGCATGCCTTTTGTATTAACTTTTTGAGTAGCATCAGTTTAGCCATGCATGTTTGACTTCTGTGCTCTTTCACCTCCATGTATTTGTGAGCTGTCCTGAGATGCCTTGCATAAGGGACTGCGTACAAAAGTTTTAAATAAATTTATTTTAAATTAGAACATTTGTATAATAGCATCTATATACAGAAATGTTTAACATTTTTAAAATATTGAGGTTGCAATCTGATGCCCTCCCCTGCACATCAATCCCTAAACTTAGACACTTGCATGGCTCCAATACATGGTATGAGTCACAGAGATTGTTTGTCACTGCTGCACTTCATGCCATGTATTTTATCTAGATGACTGTTTTATCTAGGCAGCACAGAATGGGAAGAAAAGAGGCTGAGGCACCATATGGATATGACTCTCCCAGGCTCATTCACAACCTTGGAGAAGCGGCTAGTGTGGTTCTTTTTCACTGGCTGTGAAGGAGGCGAGACAGGGGCTTGACCCTCAAGAGTCCCAGCTCTCAGGTTACAGGACTTAGGAATCTGAGTAATCATATGCTGTCCCCTTGATGATGTCAGGTCACAAGACTGGCTAAAAAAAAAAAAGCTCCTGGCACAAAGCCATTTTATCATATGTATGGTCTTGTTTCTACTTCTACATGTATTGGATAACTGTGAAATAGCATGGGAAGAAGTATTTTGATGCACATCTTTGATGTTAGAAAGTTACTGAAAAAGAGAGAGCTCATGAGCAGATTGTCTCTTCGCCACCCAGGCAACTGTGTCACTAGTGCAGGTGGAAAGTAGCAGAATTCCCAGCAAAATCAATGGCACTTCTGCATGCAGCTTACAGCAGAAGAGTGATGATTGGGTAGCACTAAAGGAGGCTGGTAATACTTTTACTGGAAAATGTCAAAGGCAAAATATTCTCTAAAATAGCAAACTCCCAGTGTCAGATTCCTTGAGTATCATGGGTTTAAGTAGAAACCAAGGAAGCTGATTTGGTCCCTTGCTTTTGCCACAAGAAAGCTGGAGAACAGAAGTCACGAGAGACAGCTTCCCCAGTGCAGGGATGCAGCTATAGCAATTTTTGATGAGCACGGATGCTGACATAATTTGCCAAAACCTCTCCCCGCCCCCTGCTTCTGTGTTCTCAATGGGCTTAGTTGCAGTGCTTACAGGTGAAGTGCGGTGTGTGTGTGTGCACGCACACATGCACAATGAATTTTCCCAGCAAAAATATATTGCCTGATGTAATACAAATAATTGAAACAACCTGATCAATAGGCAATTCAGACACATCTACTTCTGCTGGAAATCAGTTCTTGGTGGAAATAAAACTGCTAGAACTGGTTTATTGATATGGATAAACCCAACTACCAGATTCTGGGGTTGCTCCCCATGGCCAAATCCTTTGTTCTTCCAGGATTTTGGAAGAGCTATGTAGAGTGCTATGGTAAGTACATGACCTTCAAACTTACTACTGTGCCGATCCTCCCAAATTAAAACAGATTGGTTTATCAACTCTGTGGTAACTAAATATTGTTTTCCTCCACAGCATCCATGAACTTTGCCCTCTTTGGTGGAATCATTGGTGGAAGTGTTGCACTCATCATTATTATCAGCATTGGAGTCTACTGCTGTTGCTGCAGGGATTCAAAGAATAATCAGTATGAGCAAACGTGAGTGCCTTCCTTGGAGGTCTGGCTAGGCTAAAAGTGGCACAGAGGGCACCTGTTCTTGAGGGGGACCATGAAACCAGCACACAGTTCTCCTCCCCTTGTTGCACTGAGGCTCTTTGTAATCCTGTTAATAGTCTAGAAGTCGTGTGGGAAGTTTTAGACTTTGAAAACTTGTCTACAAGTAGGAAGTGTGCATTGTCATTTCCACATTATGTTTTCCAAGCCTGTAGATCCAGAAATGTGGAAAGATTCACTAAAGGGCTTTCAGATAATTTTCTACAAGGTGATAAAACCATAAATACACTTATCGGCTTGTTTCTCTTCCATAGGATGTTTCTGATAAATATAAGCTGAATTTGTGTTAAAAGTGGATTAAATAGACACAAAAGTGAAGGATTAAAAGCTAGTTAAACTATAGGATGTATAATCAATGAGAGCAAAACCAGTTATAAAAAACCCACAATGTTGAAATCTAGAAAGGAAGATAATAGAGCAGGTATAAAGAAAACCTATTTTATAATTGATATAAGTGTAATGTGTTTTTTTAATACTACATCTAGTGAAACAGTGGTCCACAAGCAGCAAGCTTGTTGTAATCTAATCACCAGGAACTATTTACACTAAAATGGGATGAATAGTCTTAGGGCTGGAACACCTATTGTGATCCTCTTACCTCACACAGCCTCCCATAGCACATGATCCTGCAAGGGAAATGAAACAGTGATTGCCCATTGCACTGCCTTTAACTCTTTAAAATAAAAGCTATAATTAACCAAGAACCATCTTCTTCTGCATCAAATGTTTAGGGAGACAGAAAATAACTATCACTCACAAGAACCTGTAAGAATCCGGGGACCAAGGGAAGAAGAAGATTACAACACTGGGAAGTACAGTCCACAGATGACACCAGAACTCAGACCACCTGCCAAGCTTTCTACGAATGCTGTGATATAGAGACAAGCATTTCATGAGAAGACTTACTGAATATTTCTTTTACTTTAGTGTGGCTTTTTTAAGAGGGCGAGGGTTGAGAAGAACTGCTTTACATTCTGCAGTGTTTTAGCCCGGAGCACAGAATAGCCAATATAAGAAGCATACCAGTTCCCGCAGCCTTTCTTACCCATTTCCTCATAGACAAAGAAGACCATTCCACTGTAGCTGTTGCATTGCATCATCATACATGGGATCCATACAAATCATATACTGTGCTTGTGAATCATCACACTGTCTATCCCTCTTAAGCACAAGTGGGCAACCTTTTCAGCTTCAGGGCAACACCAACTCTGGACAAGCACATCAGAGAGCTCATGCCAGCAGCAGGTGGGGCCACACATAGTCCTATGGCCCCTCAAATTCTTGCCCAGGCAGGTTCACACTGTCCCATCAACCACTCATAAGTATAGTAGGCAGTGGGGAGATGTGCTGTTCAGCTCAGTGAAACTGCCACTACAGTATTCTGGGTGCCTCAAGTGACTGTTCTGTAATCACCCAGCCTTCAGCCTAGCTAGAAGGGGCGACTGAAGCTCAAGTACTGCTTCAAGATGCTGGGAGCACATTGCACCAGTTCACCACTGAGCAGACTTTCTTTAGCCCTTAATAGGAAAGGCAAGGGTTGAGAAGTGGTTTGGGAACTACTGCTTCAGGGCGGTTCCCCATGAAGCCAGCTGCCCTGGAAAGCCTTCAGAGGGTAGAGCTTGTGGACCAAATCTGGCCTAAAGGGTACATGTTCCCTATCCCTACACCAAAGGAAGAGTCTTGTTTGAAAGGCAAGCAATAAACATAATCCAGAGGAAATTTCCATGTCACTCTTAAAGGGGCCGCTGGAATTAGAAGCCTCAGGTCTTTTGGATGACCATCTTATAGCACCAGTGTCCCTCATTTATTGGGTGAGATCCAGATGCCATCCATTAAGGCTGTATTACTGTTATGGGAATATCGAGTATTTCCAGTACTCAAAGTCACAAAATCAAATGCTGGAAGGATGATCACTCCCTTGCCTTTACATCCACTGCTTTTACTGTGTGGAACTTAACCATGTGATGACAGTCACCATCACCCATTAGACAGTACATGTAACATGCCCTCTTATTTTGCTCTATTTGTTTGCTGTACCCTATGTATGATAGCACAGCCAGCTATCCAGCACTTCTTTTAAAAAGGAAATCAGGTTATAAACCCAACAGACTTCCTCCTGCCTCACTATTTAAAAAATGTTTAATTTCCTGTTTTTGTTTTAAATTGCTTGCTACTGGGATTGCATCACTAGTGCAATTATATAGTTGACAATGATTTTTTAAAAGAATCCGCTAGAAAAAAATCAAATTGCAGCTAGCAGCAGTCTTTGACGCATAATTCATTTTTTTAAAGAATGTGCTGTTTATTTTGGAACTGTGTGCTTTTTTAAAAAAGAATTAAAATGAGATACTTGAGTACGTACATTGAGTATTCTTGGCCATAATGGAAGTCAAATTGGAACAAACAGTAATAATGCTTTAGATGGCTGTTCTATATTTTTGCAGATATTCCTTGTCCCTCAGTCCAAAATATATAAGAGCAGCCCTGGTGGGTCAGACCAAAGTGCCATTCTGTGCATTCCACAGTGCTCCCAACCAGATGCCCCTGGAAAGTCCACAAGCAAGTCAGGAGTGGTCTCACCCTCCCACTTGTTTTCCTCAGCAAGTGATATTCAGAAGCATATGGATTCTAGTACTGGAGGTAACATAGGCATCATGACTTACAGCCATTGATAACATCCTTAATATGCTTATACAATTGCAATCACACCAAGAAATGTAGGATCTAGCTTATTAGCATGACATTCCAGTTTTAAAATCCTTAACCTTTTATTTAATATACAATTCTAGTTCTCAGTGACAAATGGCTTTTGCATGCTCAGAAAGCAGATGTTACAACTGAGTTCCAAAGGTCATGCCTGTGCAACTGGCACTTTCAGAGTCCTTCTATACAACACCTTTATCACGATCTCAAGTTTCCTCACCTCATGGTAAACTGGCCAAATCCACAGCACCATCACATCTCACCTGCTCACCTTATTAATGGAAAGGTGCCATAGAATGTCCACAAAAAGTTTTGTGGGATTATTACAGCTTATTTCCTGAGCATGCATTAAAAATGGGAAAACCCAGATTTCAGCTACAGTTGTCATTCAGTGATCACAATGCACAAGCTCTGATTATTTCACAGTAATTAGTTGTCTGGATGTACCCTCTATAAGTGTGTATTTGTAATTATATCAAATAATATGAATTTTCTACTCAAAGTGTGCTGCTATCCTCATAGAACCCTTAGGAAGTCACTGCATGTGTTTCCATTAATAAGAAACGGTTCACATTTTTAAAAAAATCACAAAAGCAGTTGAAGGAAGGATATGCTGTACAAATAGCTTTTCTGAACAAAAGGCAAACAATGGAAGAAGCTGTGAAACTAAACGCAAGCACTGAACTGTTCTATTTATTCAGACTTGTAGATTCACATTGTCCCTTCTGAGTTCTGACAATTCAGCATCCATGTAACAATATTATCTCTTACCTTTTTTCCTCTTGCAAGGAACCCAAGGCAGCCTGCACAACTCTCCTCTTCTTCATTTTATCTGGTGAGCTTCATGGCCAAGGAGTGATTACAATCTAGACCTCTTCAATCTCAGCCCAGCACTCTAACCACTATACCACACTAGCTCTGAAATTAACTTTCTGAACTAACAAAAATACTTGAAAATAGCTTCTTCATTCCGTAGAAATTTAGTCCAGTTGACATGTTACTCAATTTACATTACACCTCAGAATCATTGCCTGAGTCAGAAAAGCTAGAAGCCTATTCTATGTGAAATTTAACTTGCCCTGATTCTTTCCTGTTTCTACTCCTCAGTCACCATCACAAGCTACATCTGAATCAGTATAAGTTATACTGACATTTAATTCAATTCCCAGTTTTAAAATACGAAATGATTACAATTAGTATAAGGCAGCTTCCTATATTCCCTAAGTCAAAACATTAGAGGCATGCCAGCAATTGCCGACTATTCTTCTGTCTAATCATGCACAGCACTGCATCCTTAGAATGTATTGCAGGCATTTTTCTGGGCAGTCTTTACATTCACTGTATGAAGACAGTGCCAAGGAAACCTGTTCCAAATTAGACGAAAATTTCTTCTTACATGGTAGATTGAATAATAGTGTCTGACTCAAATCAGAACCATGAATTTAACATTATTTAAAAGTGCAGTGAATGGTTTATGGTGACTTGCTAAAAAGCAACGGTTCATCATGGCAGTCTCTCTACATAAGACCACCACTCCTGAAATGGTCACTGGAGACCACCATTAATGCAGGTAACACCTTTAGTACAGAGCCCTGCCACTGCCCCAAGAAACTTACTCTACAATTATCTGCCAAATGAGCAATCAAGTTGGAAGGCAGGCAGATGAGAAGAAGAATCAAGGTCCAAAGGATTTATGGTCAGTTATTAGGGGTTTTTTTTAGGAATACTGTTTATTGCTTTTAATCATTCCTTAGCATTATCAGCTAGTACTTGCACATTAGTAATCGTTCATGCAAGATAAAGAACAGACACAAAATTAAAATCCAGGAGGAAGTTTAAATATCTGCTGAGAACTGAGTGGTGAACTTTTCAGTTTGAGAGCTCCCTCTAAACAGGACATGCTTCTGGAGACCCTCCCAAGTTCTTAGAACAGAACTGTAAATAGCTTTTTCCTGATAGAAAACTTCCTTTTCAGATTTCTTCACATAAATATCCTCTCCTACCCACCCCTCAATGGTAACCATTGTACACATGTGTTTATTACATCAAATTCTTCTGGGAACAATTTCAATTGTCATACAAGGCACACAAGAATCAACAAACCAGCAGAAGTAGTACCATATCTTGTCCCAAAAAAGGAAGACAATTTCTCACATCCTGCCTTCACCTGGGGGTGTGGAATAGCTTGAAAGCAGCAATTACAATAGCTAGCTATAGCTTAAGTCAGAGCTAAGAAACAGTGAGGAACAGAGATAATACAAGGTTAGGTTAATAATAGTTTTCTTTCTTCTCTTAAAAAAGTTTATAAAGTGACTCTTAAAAATTAGCTGCTTGGGTGTTTTGGGATATGGGGCTTCTGAAACATCAGAGACAATAACATGCAGTGAAATTCCAATGAACCAGATCTCAATGAGCACTTTCCTTCTCAAGCAGTTTCCAGCTGACACAAACATGCCACACAGAAAAATCTTCCTTCAGGTAACAAGCTACTTCTATGCTTGTCAAACATATGTCAGCTAGAAATAGCATTCTCTCATTTACGAAGACATTGCCTATAATTGCCTTCTGGTGCACACAACCAGTTATACATTCCATAACTAGTGGATGCAAAAGCTGGAGAAGTCAACATTGCACACTTGTTTCTTCCGCAGTTTTGTGCAGTATTGCTTTACTACTACACATTCTTTAGGAAGGGAAATGTGCATAATTCTTAACTAGCTCACAGTTGTGACAACATTAGTCAGGAAAAGAGTAAAAAGAGTCTACCCCTGGGCTCTGTGCTAAAACAGTATGCAATTTACACAAAGTAGGGCTGGAATTTCTACTGGATGGCACATCCAGTAGAATATGCACATCTCAAGATGTGCATATTCCCACTGTAATGATAGGGTGAGCTGAACCATCCTTCCCAATAAATAATCAATAATTAGATTTTGTGTGCATAAACAACTAAGAGCAGGATCTGACCTAATGCACAGCCGATGAGATATAGAATGTCCTCTTTCCTGGACAACTTCTATTCCCAATAGCATATCCCTTAGGGTTCACAGCTGATTTAGTCAGTTTGCAGGTTTCACTATAGTGAGTTGTTAGCTTTATTGTTAATCAATTTTTTAAAAGCACTATTAGGACCAAGCTAGAAAAGATGTAAAATATCTGATCATGTTACATTTAGTTCTTTGGCAAATACCACTTGCACAGCAGGGCAATCAAGACTATGACCA